TTTAGGTTATACTTATTAAACTCGTGTCCCAACATCATTATTAACGCCAAATCTTTCAATGCCCCCCTGAAATTCATTTGTCCTCCCCCGACCCCTGGGCGGCGTCAGTGATCCCTCTTCATCTCAAGGTGACGCGAGGAGAAAAGCTGCAGTGGCAGCAGAAGTGTCGCTGCCGACGGGTGGCGAAGAGCTTGGAGGTGGTGGGGGAGGTGAGGTTTGGGAGTGATGATGATGAGGATGAGGATGAGGATGAGGATGAGGAGGGGGAGGAGGCTATGAGGGGTGTTGAGGGGGGGGAGCGGGGGCAGCAAGGGGTGAGTCAGGCTGCGGTGAGTTCGAGTTCTGCTCCGGCTCCGGCTCCGGCTCCCGCTGAGAAGAGGAAGGAGCCTGAGCTCAGTGAGGGGATTGCTGCTGCGTTGGCAAAGCTCAGGAACAATGGTTAGATGGGCGAGCTTCGGGTGGCTTCGGGTTGGAACATCCTCGGTGACAACAGCACTGCACGTCACAGCACCAGGCGGAACCCTGGGCTTGTACACCTCGACACAGCATGCTGCTAGCACCGAAATGTGTTGTTCGGCATTTTTGCTAGTCAGGGGCATGGTAGTGCTTTTCAGGTTTCTCTGCTTTGGTGCGGTGCCTGTTGAACAACCAAAGTAGGTTGGGTTATTCTTCAGGTCAGACCTGCCGTGAGAGGTCCCGTATCGGCGGTTTGCCCATCTTGGAGTAATCATGTCCAACAGCTGAGACCAGCTACGTGGATATGTGAGATTAGGAACTATGTTGGGATACATATGGGGTTTTTGGTGTTGCTCAAGGAATAGACAGCATCAGGTTCAGACGGCAAACATCGGTTTTTTTTTGAACGGATTTGGGTTTGCCTCGGGAGAGTTCATGAGTCTTGGAAAAGAGACTTTGATCATCTGCCCAGTAGCAGTTTGGACGGGAAGGACTTGCGGGTGGCTGCAGTAGTATCGAGAGGGTGGTCCACATGGTTGACGCCCTGTGACGCTGTTCATGCATGAAGCTCACGTCGGATTCCTGCTGCGGGGAGGCGGGTTTAAAGAAGGAGGAAAGGTGCAGGGTGATGTTGTCAGTCATACAACTCTGGAATATAAGCACGTTCTTTTGGGGGGTACTGATCAGCAATCTATCACGCACGGTGACACGGCTGGATGGGGGTTGTTCACATGTTCTATCCAAGGCGAGGTTTGATACCTGAAATGCTTGTTTTGCTGCGGTACCTGGATCTCAGCAAGGTCATGCCAAATCAATCCGAAATCAAAAACAAAAAAAACAAAAAAACCACCATCCGAAGGGGATGGGACCTAGCTGTCTAGTCAGGCACCGGGGGATTCAAGTTTTGGTCATCTCATCGACTTCGTCTGGTAGATCGGACGGCGCAATCTCGTCATATGGGCTAGGTCAGAAGACTATCTTATCATCATCATCATTTACCACTCAGTGCTACCATTCGAATTCTATCTCACTCTTTGAGCTCCTGCTGGATTAGGCAGGTCTGAGAAGGATTGACCAATCATGATCTATTTTCATTGAGCTATACTCTTACACCCTTCGGCATTTATTTTGATTTACACAGAGCCAGACCACCATCGTCAACGACAACATCAACGAGCCGCCAAAAGATTCGACCGAAACACACATATGGCATTTTCCGGACAGCAGGTTTTTTTTTTTTTAACTTTGACGCTTCACCTTGGCTCTTGGTGTGGTGGAGTGTGTAACGGCCGCCTACCTGCTGCATGCGAGCAATGGGTCAACCATTCTTGCATTGCAGGAAGGTGGTTGGTCCGCATATGTCGTCCGACTCGCCAGCATGTGTGTGTGTGTGTGTGTGTGCGTGGGTGCTTTGGAGGAGGAGGAGGAGGTTGGGTGGGTGAGATGGGATGGGATGGGCAATCTACTTTTTTGTCAGGTTGCTTACTACCATGAGTAGGGGAGGTAGGTAGCCATGTGTCTGCCTGCCTTGAGTAAGGTAGGGGCAGGAGGGGGGAGTGAGTGGTTTGATTCTGGTTTTAATGATGTCTTGCCCCGGGGTGGCATTCCTGACCACCATCTTTTCCTTTCCCTTCCCACATTTTGGGTCTTGTTCTCTTGTCTCATCATTGCCAACCGGGGATTTTGGATGGGTGTTTCTTGCGGTGGTGGGTTATTATATCATACTGCACTCCTCTCGCTTTAGGTTTTGGTTTTGCTGATTGAGCCTCGTCGTTTTGTTTCTTGTTATCACAGTGCTTCATGAGGCTATATTGGCGATTTATACCTACCTTCGCGTTCTCGCCCTTGGCCAGACGGACATCCCTCCCTCCCTTTTGAACTGTCACCTTTCCTTTCACAGAACCCAGGGAGGAATAAGCATAAACAGCCATGCGTATCCTCTGTGGAATGGCCGCCTTTCTGGCGGCAAGCCACTCCGTTGTGGTGGTGGTGGTGGTGGCTGCAGCAGAAGCACCACAACAACGACAACATATGGCCTGGCCCTCAGCGGAGCCAGCATCAGCAAACCAGAAGCTCCCATCTTATCGGCACCCAAAGTACCGCCCTGACCGCAAGAGGGCGAATGCTGTCAAGCAGGCTTTCAGGATTTCGTGGGATGGTTACTACAAGCATGCGTTTCCTCATGATTCGCTGAGGCCCGTGTCGAATTCGTTCGAGGATGACAGGAACGGATGGGGAGCCAGTGCTGTCGACGCCTTCAGCACGGCGTTGATCATGGGGGAACACAAGATCATTGACCAGATCTTGCGCTACATCCCCGACATCAACTTCAACCACACCGACAGTGAGGTATCGTTGTTTGAGACGACGATTCGATATCTAGGTGGGCTGTTATCTGCCTACGACCTCCTCACCGGCCCCCTGAAACCCCATTTCGACTACAGCACCCACCAAACCTCCCTCATCCTCCACCAAGCTGTCCGCCTGGCCGACAACCTCAAAGTCGCCTTCGACACCCCGACCGGAATCCCCGACAACGACCTCTTCTTTTCCCCCCCTCGCAAAAAGGGCTCAACCTCCAACGGCCTCGCCACAGCCGGAACCCTGGTCCTCGAATGGACCCGCCTCTCGGACCTCACCGGCGACCCTCAATACGCCCGCCTGGCCCAAAAGGCAGAAAAGTACCTCCTCCACCCCAAAAACCCAGCCATGGGGGAACCCTTCCCCGGCCTCCTCGGCTCCTCCCTCAACCTCGACACCGGCCTCTTTGAAGACGGCGCCGGCGGCTGGGGCGGCGGCACAGATAGCTTCTACGAATACCTCATCAAGATGTACCTCTACGACCCCTCCCGCTTTTCCGTCTATCGCGACCGCTGGGTGTTGGCGGCCGACAGCTCCATCCGGTATCTGACATCCCACCCCACCACCCGGCCCGACCTAACCTTCCTCGCCATGTGGCGCAACCGCACCCTGCACTACTTCTCCGAGCACCTCGCCTGCTTCAGCGGGGGAAACTTCATCCTCGGCGGCCTGACCCTCGACTCCCCAGCCTACCTCGGCCTCGGCCTCGACCTCGTCGCCGGGTGCAGAGCAACCTACACCGGCACCCTCACGGGAATAGGACCGGAAATCTTCCAATGGCAGGATGACACCGCCCCCCTGAACGCAAGCAACAACTCCCCTCCCCCGACCCATCAGAAACTCATGTACAGCCGGGCTGGGTTCTGGGTTACGAACGGGGGGTATCAGCTGCGTCCTGAGGTGATTGAGAGCTATTACTACGCCTACCGGGCGACTGGCCATCAGAAATATCAGGAGTGGGTTTGGGAGGCGTTTTTGGCTGTGAATGCCACGTGCAGGGTTGGGAGCGGGTATAGTAGTTTGATGGATGTCAACTTGCCGGAGGGGGGTGGGTGGACGGATTTTCAGGAGAGTTTTTGGTTTGCGGAGGTGATGAAGTATGCTTATCTGGTCTTTGCGGAGGAGGCGCCGTGGCAGGTGAAGGCCGGGCTTGAGAATCGGTTTGTGTTTAATACCGAGGCGCATCCGATCAGGGTCGCGGGCGGGAGGGAGAAGTATGGGGGGTGGAGGGGGTAAGGGGAGGGAGAAGAGGGGGGAGTGATAGGTAGGGTTGGGCCGAGGACGGGTCTCCGGGTGGAGGTATAGACTGGATTGAACGAGGCTGTTATGGCAACAAGGGATATATAGATAGGAAAGAAGGGGTGGTGCTGGATCGTGGGGAGGTGGTGAGTGTGAGCGAGTGCGGCCGAGATGGTGGAGTATAAAGTTTACAAGAGGAGGCACCGGTCCCGTTCTAGGTAGACAATTCCGGCGCCGTTCTAAATAATAAAGGAAAGCCGTTTCAGGGTTTGCTCTACTTGATAACAAAACCCCCCCTCACCCATTCAAAAACTTTTCTCTCCCATTCTTCTCTTCAGCAACATTTCCCCAACCCAGTTTTCCATCCATCTTGGCCGCATTTCTTTCATTAGGTTACACCAGTCATTGGCATACCTTACCTAGTCGGCACAATGTCCCATACCGGGCATACACCCATCCCCCTACTACCACTATCTTTAAAAGGCGCAATGACCATCGTTGAAGGCATAGTTTTACAACATCACATGGTGTCAACCTACTTGTGTGTATCAACTGTTTTGCAGTGAGGATGCCGCTGTCTTTCATCCATCTTGATAGTCATTCATATATTCCAACAACCCCCTTCCTTCTCATAATTATCAGAAGAGAAAACACCACCATCACCTCCAAAACACCGGTTACCAATGATTGCCGAGCAAGTCTTTTCGGTCAAGACGCGCTCTGATAGCACACCTCATCTAAGGCACATCATACCTCGTCAAAAGCACAATATTGGAGCGCGTCTTGACCGGAAAGACTTGCTCGGCAACCACCAAGAACCGGCTCATCATTACCATTACAAAGTAAATATCCAAGAAAAATAGCCCTCCCTCCCCCCCTGCACCCATCACTCATCAACTATCAAACCTTCCTCTCCCACTCCCCCCTCAACTCCTCCAACCTCTTCCACACCCCTCCACCCAACTCCTTGAATTCCTCCAACCTCTCCTCTTTGACCATCTCCATCCCCCCCTTCCGTCCACTCAACAACCCCTTGTCCTTCAACTCTTCAACATCTTCCACCCTCCCCTCCCACCCCCACCCATCCACCTCCGTCTTCCTGACATACACATTCCCCCACCGATCCGCCGCACTCCCCCACTTGACCCTCTCGGCCCGCTCACTATCCAACGCCTCCTGCTCCTGCAGCGCCAGCCAAGCAGGCGCCATACTCCCGTTGTACCCCGTGATCGGATGCCACGGCGAACCCAGCCACCTCACCAGATAAAGCACAACCTGATACCAAAAAAACATGAACGCGTTGAGCGGAAAAAGCGTCGTCTGGACGATGCCCGGATGCGCTAGGTACATCTTGGGTGGCGTCTCGTCTTCCGCCACAGAAAAATACTGATCAACGTACGGTTTCGACGTCGGGAGGGACGACGTCAGCGCCAAAACGTCAGTCAGTCGTTTGGTCGACTCGTAGGCGGCGTCGGTTTTGAGGGCTTGAAAATCTTCTAGGGAAAAGGTGTCCCAGTCTGCGTCGATGCTGCTCTCCCAGATGATTCTTCCGGGGGGCAGGGCGGATGGCTTGGGGCGGGAGAGCAAGGGGACCAGTTTCTGCGCAAAGAGGTAGTGGCCAAAGACGTTTGCGCAAAAGACTTCTCCCATTGTCTCCTTGCTCCCCGGGACGGGGGCGATGGTTTGGCCCGAGTTGCCCCCCTTGAAGGTCGGCCATGTTGTTGCTGAGACGATGCCCTTGGTGAGGATGTTGTGGGCGACTTTTCCCCAGTTGAGACCGTACCAGCCGCCGATGCCGGCGTTGAAGATTATGGAGTCCAACCGGGGGATCTTGACGTCTTCCAGGGATTCAAAGTCGGGGGACGTGGAGGGGGAGGAGGAGAGGGTGCCATGGAGGAGCTGGTCGGCGGCGGCGGTGATGCTGGGGAGGTTGCAGAGGTCGAGTTGGACCGAAAGGATGTGAATGCGGCGGGTGGCTTGGTGGGGGTCGTAGTTTTGGCCGGTGCGGGAGCGGAGGGCGGGGGAGGATTCGGCGAACTGTAGGGCGTGGGCGCGGAGGGCGGTGACGGTTTCTTGGGACTTTTTGGCCGAGCGGGTGGTGGGAATGAGGATGAGGTGGGAGGTCAGGGAGCGGGTGGAGAGGTAATCGTCGATGAGGCGTTGACAGATGCCGAAGCCGATGCCGCTGTTGGGGCAGATGTCAGGGGCCGCTGGGAGCTTAAACGTTCGAGATGGGATGGATTGGGACTTACCTGTTGGCACCTGTCACCAGGACAAATAAGGTGTCCTTTTCAGGAGCTCGGTCCCAAGGTGGTGGTACCATGGTGTCGATTAAAGATGAACAGTGTTTGAAGCGTGGTCGAAGAAGTATCGGGGGGTCCGCTGAGCTATAAGAGCTGGTCGGGGTGCCGTTTTGGATTCGGTACAAGGTGGAGAGAATCCGGTATTTGGAGTGGGTTGGTGGCTGAAAACCAGTGGTTCAGAATGATTTATTAATATTATGCCGCCGTGACAGCAAAGCTATGGCTTCTTTTTGCTTTGGTGATACGTCGTCAGGTCAGCAGTGGTGGTGGTACAGTACACAACAAGTTCAGTTTCCTGGGCGAGTCGGTGGAGCTGTTGATATCCAAACTGCCAAATTTCCCGGTGGATCGATCAGCAGCTGGAGCAAGGTAAGGCGGACATCATCAGTCTAACCCAGAGAGTTCTCTTTAGTTCGGACTTTTCAGCTTAGAGCACGGATCACTCGATGGATCAAGCAACCGAGCAACGTTCCCTGATCAAAGAGCTTTGAGACCGCCCGAGACCATCTGAGCAGACAGTCAGGTTTTGTCTGACCGGCCGCATCGACAACTCCTCGACAATTCCTCGACAATTCCTCGATAATCGGCATCTGGTGTAGCTGGACTTTTGTTGTCCCCGCTTTCCCATCACACCCTGTTACCTCAGCGGCACCACCCGTGCCATCCCCACTTTAACTTTGTGCCCCCAATCTAACAAGGCTGAAGACTGACATCTGACATCTTGACAACAACATCCAATCGACATGATGCCGTCAAAAGTCCTGATCTTTACTGGCGCTCCCGAGAGTAGCACGCTTGATTGGGAATCCGGGCTGCTGTCAGCCTTTTCCGATCCGATTGCCCGGTTTGCAGGAATCACAACAGACAGCCAACAGCCTCGTCCGGCAATCGAGGATCACGCTGCCTGGAGATCGTTGACACTGGAGAGGACTGATATCCCACACGACCGCCAGAAGCAGGTCGCTCTTGACCCCTGCTACGATGAATCAGCAGACTTTCTTCCAGGGACGGGACCCGACTTCTTCACAACAGTATATACTGCCTCTTTCGCATCGACCAGAATCGGAGAATCTCAATCTCAGGTTCAGTCTCGGGCCGAGTCCCAGAACCATGCGTTGTCACAGCTCTACGAGCACTCAATAGCAATCCATCAGGAAATGCCCTCTTCCCACCTTGTCAATCACCACAGCCAAAGCGACCAGTCAGACTCTTGTATCAGCAACGAGACTACCTCTTTTCTGTCTGATGGCCCCAGCCAACACGAGCCCGCGAGGGGGCCGTTGCCTTTTCGGGGAGATTCTCACCTCACCGACCTGAAAGATATCCCACCAGCCTCGTGTCTTACCAAGATCATGCCGCAGACCGCGAGCGTCAACTTGATTGCAGGCATCATCTCGGTTGCCCGGCCTCGAGTTGTCAACACCCGATGGGGCTCAAAGCATCTGGTGGAGATTTTGGTTGGTGACGAGACCAGAGCTGGTTTCACCGTTACCTACTGGCTACCATCAGATGATGTTGAGAAAAGCTGCCTTGCCGGACTGCGGCCCGGAGACATTGTCCTAATGCAGAACATTGGGCTGAATGTGTTTCTGGAAAAGGTCTATGGGTCCAGTCTCCGCAAGGATCTCTCCAAGGTCCACCTTCTCTACCGCGTGAAACTCGACTCCCAAGAGAGCGGCGGCCACTACGCAGCATCGGATCTGGCGTCCACGACTAATCGGCATCCCCAGCTGGACAAGACACGCCAGGTTCGAGATTGGGTTCTGAACTTTGTCGGTGGTGGTGCCCGGCACCAGGGCAAGTCCAAAAACAAGCCGGCCAACCCCAAGCGTCGTTGGGAACGACCACCAGACGACGATACCCAGCTGCCTTAAGCTTCTACCCTGAAATACAGTAAGGCATTTCCTATCTGTGCGGTGTTGTCATCGAAAACTCTTGACGATATCGACGGCCGCCGGAGGTGGTTCCATTTGCTGAGCGCGCATACCCCTGTCAACGCCGGTCTTGGCGGCACGGTCCAGCTGCTGAGACCCTCCCGTGGCTGTGAATGGACTCTTCGAACATGCTTTGCGTGGCCTCCGCGTCAGAGGGGAAATTACGACTACGCGGCTTTGGTCCACAGGGATTGGCTGCCGTTGACATATAACGATAGAAGCATTCGTGACGAAGCTCAATCGCCTCAAACAAACACAGCCAAGTCTTGACCACCTTAATCCCCCGCCTACAAGGTCTACCTTGGCAGAAAGCTTTCAAAAATGATGCGCAGACGCCACAAGAAATCACGCCGGGGATGTCTGGAGTGCAAGAAGCGGCATATCAAGGTGAGTTGTGCTCGATCACTATACAGAAACATGTTCAACCGCCGACAACGGTTTGCAGTGCGATGAAACCCGGCCACGGTGCATCAACTGCACGACTGTGGAGAGGGAGTGCCAGTACTCGACCCCTGGATATCAATCACCTTCCGAGACCTCAGGGAGTCCCGCGCCGGTATCTCAACAGACGCCCTTCCAAGGCTCCGTCTCGACCCCTGCCTCGGGGGCGGCCTCGGACCACAGCATGCCCGCTCCGGCTCTCTCGCCGGAGGCACCGGCACCACCTATGCTGGACATGCGAACTTTTCCTCACACTGGGGACATGAACGGCAAAGTCGACATCGTGCACATGCAGCTGTTTTATCACTACGTGACCAACCACTCGGTCATCTATCCGTTTGTCGATTACGATGGTAGACTGAAACGCATCATTGTCGAAGTTGCCCTCCGAGAGCCGTTTCTTTTGCACTCGATCCTCGCAATGGCAAGCCGGCATCTGAGCATGACCGGAACCGGCAACACGGCCTACTACCACGACCTTGCCATTGAGCTTCAGACGCAAGCCTTGTCTCTATTCAACAGCTTCGATGTCGAGCATTTTGCCCAGTCGATCGAGCGACGAGTGCCCGTCTTCCTGTTCTCTGCGATCCTAGGCTTCCATGCCTTGTGCGACATGCTGGCGTACCAAGACGACACCTATCCCTCCAACCTGGCCAGGCTTACAGGATACTTTCGTCTCCATCGAGGCATTCTTTCCGTCATGGAAGGCCACTGGGAAGATCTCAAGAAGACGGAGCTTAGCATCCTCTTTGACCACATCGTCCCTCGTTGGTATGAGATCAGTGATGATGACGGGGGCTCGGATTGCGACGACATCAAACAACGAGTTCGGGAATCCCCAGATCTGGATGACGGGCAGCGGGAGGCGTTTTTCAAGGTCCTCAAGTATCTCCAGTGGGTGTTTGATGCCACGCCCAACTATCGCAGCCGAGCTCATATGTTGTGCAGTTTTGCGTAAGTTGACTTCGCACGAATGGTGAGACGACGACTGACTTTAGCAGTGTGATGATTCCTAGACCCTTTGTCGACGCTGTCGAGGCAGGCAAGCCTGAAGCGCTGGCCATACTCGCCTACTTTTATGTCGCCCTGCATTTCTGTCGTGACATCTGGCTGATTGGAAACTCGGGCCAGTTTCTGTTGACGTCGGTCGCCACTCACCTCAACCAGCTCGGCCCAGAGTGGTCGGCCTGGTTGGAGAAGCCATGTCAAATGCTGCGGGAGTCTTTGGAGGAGGACAAACTCAACACCCGGTCCTCTGCCACCAGCATCGCCTCGGCTTCACCCCTGCCAACCTGGAGCCATTCAGGACTCGACGATCCATGAGTGGCTACACAGTGCCCTATGTCACATGATTTCTCTGGGCAAACTGGACCATCTCAGCCTGAGACCAGTCGGTCACCCACCGCTCCACCACAACCTCAACGACCAGCGTTGTGTGTGTGTGTGTGTGTGTGTGTGTGTGTACCGCCGCAATGGGTCACGATATCGTCATCTCCCGGCCCTCCGAGGCTGATGCCGGGCGCATCGCAGAAATCCACATCTCCGCCATGGGTTCGAACCCACTCCTGCATGCACAGTTTCCCACGCCAGAAGGTCTCCAGGCGCTTCGCCGCTTTCTCGAGGCCGAGACGCTCGACGAGATTCGCGACGCAGTGTCTGGTGTTTTGGTCTCGCGGGATGGCCCAGATGGACCGGTGACTGGGTTCGTGAAATGGACCTCCCCATCCCATCCCCAGGATGTCAAGCTTGAAAGGGGCGATATTGTCCACCTGGAGGGATGCTGCCGTCGGTTTTTGGATGAATACGCTTCGCTCGCCGAGCAAGCCAAGGAGAGATCGGTGCGAGATGAGCCGCCTTGCTACCGTAAGTGTGCTCCCACCAGCTTATCCCGTGCTGGCGTTGCTTGGCGGCGCGGGTGTATCCTAGACAGATATGCAAAGTCTGGGGAAGTTGCAATGCCGTCATCAATATCTGGCTCCGAGAACGTCCGAGGGGAGCCTTGTTTACGTCCGTTTTCATGATAATCGTCACCCGGGCCGGGCCGCCTCCTCCGATGTTTTCAGGCAAAGCTAATCGACTGTACGGGTTAGGATTGAGTTTTGTCTGTGCGGATCCTGAATATCAGGGTAGAGGGATAGGTACGCAGTTGACTCGGAAGGTATTGGAGCTGGCCGAGGAGGACAACCTGGCGGTCTACCTGGAGAGCACCGATGTGGCGGTCTCTATTTATCAACGACTTGGATTTCGTGCTATCGACAGTTTCGAAATGCAAATTCCGGGCCGACAAGAGACAGAGAGGGTGGTTTACAAGGAGGTGTGCATGATATGGTACCCTTCTGGCAAAAGATAGCAATTCCCGGCCGACTAGCCCACACAACGAATCGGTCCTTTCCCAATGTCGGTCATATATTACAGTCGATAGTAGCAAAGATATTATCCGGCCTCGGATTGGCCAATTTCAGAAAGCGTTGAACAAGAAGAAGATTCCAACTGATACACTTACACTAGATCTAGATCAAGGCAACGGTTGCTGGCTGCTGGCTGCTAACTAAACCCCCCCCCCCACACACACCCTGATGACGGGCTTCATCCTGGGGAAAACAACCCCAGATTTCCACCCTGGACACGTGCTTTTTGGACTCCAACAACAAGTTCTCCAATATAGGGTCTGTTCCTTCAACAAAAGAGAAACAAGGTTCCACCCGACACATGTGTCGCACGACAGTAGAGGATCAGGACGGGTTATATGTTCTGCATCACTTGACCTCTTTTGAGCTTCGCCCTTGGGGGTGGAACATACCCTCCTGGTTTGACCCAGAAGTAAAAACTCCCCCTGCCCCCGCAATGAGGGTTCCAGACCCCCCAAGA